GGGCTTTTTGAGTCACTAACCTGGAACAAGCATGCAGATCACAAAGTCAGAACGCCTCGGGTGCCTACTTGTTCCAGGACAGTGAACCGAATGGATGTGTGAGGATTGAGCCACTCCATGCTTTCATTGCCACTGGACCAGCAGGGCAGCCAGCCAACCAGAATTATCATATGAGAGGGCAGATATGGTAACCCCCACATTTCATGAAACGGTTAAAGCAGAGCTGAAGCCAAAACTTTTTTTTTTATAGTTCCGGATAAAGTAAGGGAGGATTATAACCGGCCAGATTTCTTTGCCATCTGTGCGCCACTGGTGAGATCTCTGTTTACTTCCTGTCTGATAGCCACCTCCGAAAGTAAAAGGGATCCCTCCAAAGTGAGCGAAATCCCTGGTGGTCAGCAGGGACACCAGAACTAGTGTCCCCATTGGAAGATTTCCCATCTATTCCTGTTCTGATGACAACCCAAAATTTGGGATTTTCTTTTACCTCCACTTATGTTATAACAGTCCCCAAAACAAATAGAGAGGGTAAGGCTCATTCACACACAACGCAAGAGCAAAATAGTATATTGCGCATATATGCGTGCACCATTTGCAATCCCATAATGCATAATTCGTAATAGAAATGTTAATGAACTGTATATGCGTGCAAACATGCGTAAATGCAGAAATACGCTGCCCGGATGCATCTCGGTTCTATTCTGTTTTTGTACAATTTTTACGCAAATATACGGCTCCATACGCAGCTATGTGTATGGAGCCGTTTATTTGCATATGCTGCATATGGTACAATACGCGCGGCAGTGTGAATGAGGCCTAAATGTCCACAGACCGCAACAAAAACCTGACATGGGGGGTTTTAATTCCTCTCCACTGTTTATAAATAAAGATTTTGGCTTTAGTCACACCTTAACCCTTTGGCGGCCAAAAACAAAACCTTGATCTTCCAGAAACCCACTTTGCTCCTAACTTCCTGTCTGGCCTGACCATGCATTGCTTTTGCTGCTATGAATTCCCAACCAGTGTTGACTACAGAACTTCACCTATACCCACCCCTCACTAGCCTTCCCCTCAGGCATACATTTATTTCATACCCATCAAAATAATGGCACTATTTTGACTCCTAAAAGTATGGCCACACACTGTAAGGCCCCGTTCACACTGAGCGATTTATCGCGCGGTAATTCCCGCGATATTGCGGCTATTTACCGCGCGATATCGCTCTCTAATGCAATCCAATGGGGCTCTGTCTGTAGCTGTCGCGGGTCGTGCGTCGCTACAGCAGGACCCTTTTTGGAGCGGATTTTGCAGCGATTCTAGCTTTCTCAATGCAAGCATTTGCACGATATCGCGCGACAAACACGCGATTTGCGAATCACTCAATGTGAATGGGGCCTAAGGAAAAGAACCATGCGAGATGTAGTTCTGGGTGGTGGTGTCATGTAATACACACTGAAAAAATGAATGCTGGGATTGGCCGTAAAGGGAATGAGGGAGGTAATGGTGTAAATGTAGGTCATATCTAAAAGAAATCTTTGGGGAGTGCCATATGTTGGTGTCAAGATGTACGAGTAGCTTTTTTTCTTGTTGTCCAATACCATAGACTCCAACAATGTAGAAATAGCTATAGGCTTTAGGGAGAGGCTAGGCGTGCAGGTATGAACCAACGCCCCTCAGGGTAAAAATAACAAAACATGGAGTACAACAGAGCATTGCATACGCTTATCAGCTTGGCTCTCCAATAGAGAAAGGAGGAGATGAAGAATTTGGAAGAGATATTGTATCTTGACCCCTTCCACTATTTCCCCAGAGAGAGCAACTGTAGGCACATTTCATACGGTTACCCATTCTGAATACGAACAGCTATGCTGGGTACCATCATCTACATACCTACTGTAAAGGGCACCTCTATTCAACAATGTGTACGTGTCAGAAATCAGCAGCACTAACTAGGGCTGGCCAACATGACGCAACGCCCGCACATGCACACAGGAGTTACTATATCTGGGCAACCCGGGTCTGGGCACAGAAAAAAGAAAAATGGCGGACAGGCAGGTCGGAGATTTTGGCAGAAAATACTTACACTGCCGCCTCCGATATTAAAAAAAAAACAAAAAAACCTGCTTGTCATCAATTTTTATATACAGACACTTTACTTCCATTTTAAGGCCTCATTCACACTGCTAAGAGACGCCCGTACAGGTCCGTGCTGCGTGCACGGCCGTATCAGGCCGCTCCCGGGAAGGACAGGTGCTGCGTGCGATTGTATGCAGCAGCCTGTTCTTCTCTATGGGAGTATGCGGCCGTATGCACACCCGAGCTGCACATCCGTGTGGGTGTCCATACACGTACACAGACCAGATGGATCCCGTCCGAGCACAGACACCCGCACGGATGTGCAGCTCGGGTGAGCGTACGGCAGCGTACTCCCATAGAGAAGAACAGGCTGCTGCATACAATCGCACGCAGCACCTGTCCTTCCCGGGAACGGCCTGATACGGCCGTGAACCCCACACGGATCTGTACGGGCCTCATTCACACAGCTGTGTGAATGAGGCCTTAACCTGAAATCCAGCCAAGCTGCTTTTCCTGCCAAAGGGTTTGTATTTCTGTCAATCCAGTCCTGAAATGTACACAGCTTTGCCACACAACACTGGCCTGTCTGGCAGAGCTGAAGACCAGATTTTTCTCTGCTTCAGTTAAAGTGACTGTGTCACTATTTGATCACTGAAAGAAAAAAAAAATGGAACGAGAACGCTAAATAAATCCGTGAAACGCCCGCCTAGGCTCCTCCTACTGACGCATTTCACTTGTCATGAGCTTATGTGTAGACTGCTCTGTCACTTCATGGTCCAAAGTAAACTAAGGCTCCGGTCACACATTAGCGGTGCGGAAACACGCTAAGCATAAAAATAAAAAAAAGACTTATTTCCAATGGGTGCTGTTCGCCACATGGTGTGGTTCTGCCCACTAGCTCAGGACAGCAGGGCCGGCGGGAGGAATCACAACGCACAGTAGTTGGTATTGGATGCACCTTGAAGTGTCAGATTCTTAATCAGTCCAAGATCTGCAGCACAGCCAATGTGTGTCCAGTCAAAATTCTTCTTAGTTTTGAAAAAAAAATGGTGGGGAAGGATTAGAACCCATGACAGGTTTCTACTGTTAGAGGGATTTACCCTCACTTCCTGTCCTGCTGAAAAACATTGTACCAGACAGGAAGTGAGGGGAGCTCTTCAACAACAACAGATAGAAATAAACTGTTAGTATAGTAGAAGGCTTGAACCTGTCAGACTTTTATTTCTGCGTCCCCGTTACACATTTTCCCTCACTTACCGTCTAGTAGAACAGAAAGTGAGAGTAATTCTCTCTCACGGAGCCCCCCGGGTAGCAGTATGAAACCTCACAGGGGTTCTAAGCCTTTCTAACTCTATCCACAACTAGCAAAACATGGTTTTGGCTTCACAGCGTCACTTTGAGCCGGAAAGTTAAGTAAACATCATCTACAGGCTGGTTTTATTTCACTTTAGGCCACATAGTGACAGAGTATCTGTATGTAATGCAGGAGTAGGCAACCTTGACACTTTAGCTGTTGTGGAACTACAAGTCCCATGAGGCATTGCAAGCATTTGGCATGACTTCCAGAGGCAGATGCATGATGGAAGTTGTAGTTGCAACACAGCTGGATTGCCGAGTTTGCCTGCCCCTGATGTAACACTTACAGGTCTCTAAGTCAAGTGCATCTCTGGACAGCAAAAGGAAAAGCAGCAGAGTGATGAGCTAATCTCTCAGTCACCCTGCTCTATACTCCTATCAGACTGTCCCATATTAGAACAATAGCACTGCGGAACTACTAATTGGTTCCTTGCGCTGCTGGATCCTCATGCTGCTTCTCCAGTTATAAGTCTAAGCTCTGCTGCACAAGTGATTGCAAATTCAGGTACTTTCCCTGCTTGCACTAAAAAATGCATTTAATATTGTTTTTTTGAATACAAAGCTGCATTTATTATTCATGTTTGCAAACACTGACTGGTATGCTTTCTGCTGCTTTGGAGTGTCTACTTCAGGGGTAGGCAACCTTGGCCCTCCAGCTGTGGTAAAACTACAAATCCAAATCATGCCTCTGCCTTTGGGAGCAACGTCTGTGGTTATCAGAGTCCTGCAATGCCTCATAGGACTTGCAGTTTCACTGCAGCTGGAGTGCTGAGGTTGCCTTCCCCAGCTCTAAAGAAAAACAAATCCTGCAATCTTTTTTTTTTTTTTTTTGTATAATGGATGTTTTATATTACATCCAGTATTCTATGTGATGCTCCCTGAAGTTTCAGTATACTGGTCCTGTGATGATTAATACCTGCCACTGCTTACCACTGTATCCCTGACTGTCATATAGAGCTAGAGAAGAGGTGGAACTACAAATCCCATGAGGCATTGCAAGATTCTCACAGCCACAGGCATGACTCCCAGTGACAGATGCACGGTGGGATTTGTAGTTTTACCACAGCTGGAGGGCCAGAGTTTGCTCACCCTGGATCTAGGGGGGGTCACTGCCCCAGAACACATATGAATCTCAGGAAATCTGACTCCATATACAACCTAAGTGTAGAATGGGGCTTTTGTGATGGTAGCCCAGTTCTAAAAATCACCAATTTTTGTGTGGAAAGTGTCAAAGCTAGAAAATTTTCATTTACAGATCCTCTCAGAACAGCAATACGTGACAACAAGAAATGAATGTCCTTCATGGTGATTACAGAATGTACGATTGATAGCAGTGCAGAAATCCATTCCAAAATAGACATCATGCAATGCTGGCCGGTGTGTTGTCACAACACGTTTCATCACCGTCAGGAGAGGGGCTCTCACCCAAAATAAAAGGCGCAGGGACACCCAAATTCAGAAGTATGACTGCCAGGCAGCCAGCATTTTCAACAATGGCACCACCAGTCTTTCTTCCAGTGCGCTTTTTTTTTTATTTTATATATAGGAGGAAATTGTAATGTATGTGGTGAGCCAATGGAGGGCCGGAGTTGCCCATCCCTGCTAGCTGTTGTGGAACTACAAGTCCCATGAGGCATTGCAAGACTGAAAGCCACAGGCATGACTCCCAGAGGCAAAGACATGCTGGGATATGTAGTTAAAGCACAGCTGGAAAGCCAGAGATGCCCACCCCTGACTTAAAGGGTAATTCCAGTTTCTGCCTCTCTCACCACTGGTCTGGACTGGTAACTGGAATTACCCTTTAAGACCGTCTCCATTATTCTTAATGGTATGTGACAAATAAAACTCAGATTATTATTATTGTATATGATAAGTAAACGGTACAAATAAGCACACCACACATGTCACAATCTGATTGTACAATCTCCTTCAGATCTTCCAACAACCATGTAGTAGAAGGGCCTCCCTGAGTGACATATAAAATGAAGCTTCGCCGATAGTAAACAGGCGGATGAAGTCATCAGCTGTATTGCAGCAAGTTAGACTCCCCTGTGTCTGGCTGGGAACGTCAGATCGCACATACACATGAGATCGCACCCCATGGGAAGGGTATGATGTGCACATCACTCTGGTGACCAGCCCAAAGATCGCTGTCATGCTGATGATCACAAGCCATGATGATGAGTGACATACTCACCAGCCATGATTGCCTTGCCAGGGTGTGTGATCTTCCCCTGCCCTCCTCCTGGAGCTGCAGCGGCCAGCGATCTAGTGTCCCCACGCCTGCTTCCATGACCCCCGGTCCGCGATAGCTCGCAGGGCCCCTCGGTGACGGTGAATGGCTGCAAGATGGAAGACATGGCAGCTAAGGAGGGAGCTCTACTAATGCAAAGGTAGCGACCACCGAGCGGTACAGAGCCTGTCTGCCGCCACGCCCACCTCATTAATATTCCACGCGCCGGCTACACCTCTGTTTTCTCAGAGCCGAGATTCCAGCCTGAGGCCACGCCCGCTCCGGGTAGCCTATGTCCATTACTCGCCCGGTCTCACCGCCCCTTCGGCTTAGTAGACGGGTATGAAAAACACGAGGCTCATTCATTAATAATGAGGCTGGCGCTGCCTGAGGATTCCCATTGGTTCATACAGGCACCGTGAAGACCCGTTCTATTGATGGATCTCAGTCCGAGAAAGGGGGCGCGGCTCTATCTTTTGATTGGCTGTACGCCGACGTAGGGCGATTTTCTGATAGGCTGCTGCCAGATAAGGCGAGACGAGTGGGAGACCGCGATTGTGTGATTGATAGCATGGTTCGCCCCATGGGTGTGAGCTGATGGGGTGTGTGATCAAAGTATCACTTTTTCTGCGTTCACTTTTGATATGCAGATGTATCAGCTATACTGATCGGCTATGCAAGAGACAGTCTGGACGGTCAGGCGCCGGGAGTGCTCCATTATCAGGACGGTTCCTGATTGTGGAGGTTAATCCCTGCAAAAATCAACAATCGTGGTTCATCCACCACCATGGGAACACGGATTGAGACTGCTGACCCCTTTATTTTCAAGGCACCCAGTCTGAAATGTAAAACAAAAAAACTGTGGTCCTTCCAAAATCCATAGCAGACCATTATCCAAGACACGATCTTACTGTACTCCTTTCACATCAGAATCCCCAGTTTCACAATAAAGTCTCCTTTCACATCAGATTCCTCCTTCAAATCAAAGTCCCCCCTTCACATCAGAGTCCACCCTTCACATCAGAGTACCCCCCTATACAGTTCCACCTTCATATCACAGTCTCCACTTCATATCATGGTCCCCCCTACACATTAGGAGACCCCTTCACATTAGAATCCCCTCTTCACATTTGAGCCCTTTCTTTTACTTTGGGAGCCCCGCTTCACACCAGAAGCCTTCTTCACATCAAAGGCATATCTCTGTGTGAACATTTTGAGGTGTATGCAAATCAGGAGTTCTCTATTAAAGGCATATTCCAGTTTTTGCAAAAAAATTAAAAATCCACTCATATTGCAAAAAAGAAAAGGAAGTGTGCATTTTTAATTTTTTGCATTGGCACCTGCAAAGCATTACAACTGCGATTAGTGGATCAGGTGTGCAATGCACAGGCTCCTGCGGACAACTCCTTCTTCAGTTATGGAGCTAGAGGAAGTTATCAATGGTGACATCATCGCACTTTTAGGGCTTTGTAGGGCTCTATTGAGATCTACAAGTCCATCTGGTATGGGCATGGCAGGTGGGGTTTGAAGTATTTTAATTCACTTCACAGATCCTGTGAATTGATCTGTGAATGAATGATGTGGCTGTGCAGCCATGCCAAATTCAAAAATACACAGAAGCCTGCGGAGAGAAGCACCCCAAAATTCAGATAGTGGAGGGGGGGGGGGTCAGAGTGGGGGGCTGCAGACAGTTGATGTATCCTATGCCAAGTCTAAGCAGCAGGGAGGGTATGTTTTATATTAGATAATGAGTTGGATCAGGAGATGATCTAATGTCTTTGAGCTACTTACAAATGCATCAATGACTGAGGATCATCTGAAGAGAATAAGTAAATGGAAAGGTTAGAAAACATTTAACGGAGTTGTTGCTGTATCCCTTTGTAAGCTAGTGCTATGCAATTGTTTGCTTCCTTTTCCATTTGCCTATTCAAGAACAGTCACCCAAAACCATCATTTGTGGTTAAAGTGACACTAAACTCAGGAGTTAAATGAGAACTATGGTGTTAAGGCTTTTCCCCATAGTTCTCCTTAGGGTAACGGAGGACACAAACTAGCGTCATCCCGTCACCCTAGGCTTAGTATACCAAGAGCTGTAGCTTGCGGTATACTGAGACGCCGCAGCTGAAGTGGATCCCGACAATTATGTCTGGATCTGCCCAGCTGCGTGACTGACAGCTGGCTCTGCCTATCTAGATAATTATCTGCTTCTGCTGCAGATCCTCAAATCATCTCTGAATTGATGCTGACACTGTCAGGTGAGCGAACGCCGGTATGTGTTCGCTCACCTCCCGATCTACTGAGCCGACCTGTGACTGTCTCATTGTCACAGGTCGGCTAGAACTATGAGGTGAGTGAAAATCACTCACCTCATAGTTCTCTTTAAATCTTAAAAATACATTCAAGTACCTTAACTATTACAAAAAATGTATCTTATTTGTGTATCACTCGGCTGCAGATCCTCAAAACATCTCTGAATTGATGCTGACATGTCATTCCTTCTGGAGGGGGGCTACTTTTGTTCCCCATGGACTCTGTGTTGTAAAGTAGCCATCACTCCAAGCTCACTCCCGTGATGGACTACAATCTCCATACAAACTAGTAAACCGAATGTGAGATTTTAATAATTTCACTGACCTGAATGACCTGGATAGTCAGAATGCCTTAGCTGCATAATTGTTCTATTTTAGTGACTCAAAGTGTTCAAGCAAGAAGGTCATCATGCCAACTGGTAGATGGAATGTGCAGAATGAAAAGTTGGCAATCACAACCTTTGTTTTCTCTCTCAGAAGAGGTTTCCTTTAAAACCTATTTCCAGCCAAAACTTGTGATTTTATTTTGGATACAGTAGCCAAGGGTTAGAGTCTTTGTTGGGTTCATATTTCTGCATTTGTCTCTTTTTGGAGAGAACTCATCATGCTCTCCTACCCTATCAGCATTGAAAGGAATGAACAAGAAGGCATGATATGAGGTCTCATGCAGACAAAAACTTAAAGGAGAACTATGGGGTCAGTGCTTTTCGCCATAGTTGTCCCCAGGGTCATGGGAGGACACAAACTAGCGTCCTCTCGTGACCCAAAGCTCAGTATAGTGGGGCGGAATTCCTGCATGGAGCCGTGAGTGACAGTCACGGCTCTCTGCAGGGACAGGAACGAGAAGTGAGCGAGCGACGGTATCTGTTCGCTCACTTCCCGATCTATTTAGCCGACGTGTGACAGTTTCATTGTCACACGTCGACTCGAATTATGAGGCTGAGTGATTTCCAGAATTAACAGAGATGTTACCTTCCTCACTCTATACAACATGATTTGTTGTTACTTTTTGAACAAGCACATTTTTTAACTTTATGGAAAAAAGGTGAGCAAACAATGTACCTGCAATGACTGTATAGTATGCAGGGATTTACATTTTTGTTCCTGTGAGTGGCCACCCTTCATTGGCATGTCATAGCTGATCAAAACTGAACCTAAAAAAAAAATCTGAAATCCCATTCATTAAAAGTAGGCTTCCCTTTACTGGTCTGTCTGTCACCATGATGCAGCGGAGATGGAGGGCTAAGTTTTTTCTCTTTATGATGTCAGACACCAGACTGAATATTAGTCAGTATCTCTTCCACTGCAGCCAAAAGATGTAAAATGCTAATCAGTTGCATTTGCTGACTTCAGAAGCTTCTATTTTTGCAGTGTCCTGCTTGTTCTTGGATAAATATTAAAGCTTTTATCTTGCATTGTATTATTTACCCATTAATTATGGTAATGCAGGATTTTGGAACTTTAAGAAACAGTAGATAAACGTTGGTAGTTTCACTGGTCTTCCTAACTTCAGCAAAGTCCTCTGGGAAAGCATGAAGACGCACACTGTGCTAGAAGGGTTTCTGGCTGTTGAGCAGTGAACTCTAACAGAGGATCTTCCATTGATCCTCACAATGATGACTCCTGGCTATGGGGTGAGAGATTTGTTAGTCTGAATCTTCTTTCAGATACAGTGCTTACTATGAAAAGTTCTTCCACAGGTACATTGCAGCTCTTATCTTCTGGAAATCTAAGTGGTGAGCCAAATGGAATCCTTGATCTCAATGTTAATTACAGCAGACATCTGAATAATGCACAGTGTGTCCTTCAGGACTCTACAGCACATAATGGAACACAGACTGCCCTAGTTCCTTGTAGTGAAGTGTGAAAGTCGCTATACGTTTACCAAGGAGATCTTTGGTGGTCTTATACTGAGAGACATGGTATAGTTGGAAGCAGAGAATTATCAGCAGAGTTCATGGCTGGTGGTACTCAGGAGAAACTGGGATAGATGCTGCTAGAGATAGATAGCCCTTGCTTTCCAGGGAAAATCAATTTAAAGAAGATTATTATTACTGTGTCTAGTTATTGTATATCAATTTTAAAGTGATAATAAAGTCAAAATGTTTTAAGCTATTTGAAATGCTGAATAAACAACTTACAATGGATGCTGATCCTTGATGTTTAAGGCCTGGTTCACACCTGAACGTTTTGTAGCGCGTTCAACGCTCGACGAACGCTCTACAAAACGCTCAAACATCTAAATCCCATTGTATTCAATGGGTCTGGTTCACACCTTGTCGTATTTCCGCCCGTCCGAACGCGATACAAAACTGCCTACGCCCAAAGAAGTACATGTACTTCTTTGGGGCGTTTTGGTCTCGCGTTTCCATTGGGATACAGCCAAGTAGCCAACGGAAAAGCGCGCGCCGCGACCCGCGCGACAAACGCGCATATTCAATACGCCTAGGTGTGAACCCAGCCTTAAGGTGCCCATACACCTTACGATTATCGGACTATAATCGTATTTGATCGACTTTTCGAACGACAATCGTACGTGTGAATAGAGTGCCCGAACCGACATTACTGCACAATCGTACGACTTTTGACGGTCAAGCATGTTTGGAAACTTTGCTCGATCGTACGATTGTCGTAAGGTTGCTGGCGTTTCCGTCTGTCAAAAGTCGTACGGTCTACACTGCGCATGCGCGCATTTCGTCCAGGTGCTTCTCGTTAATTACAGCTAAATTAATCTTGCGATCATCGGGGCAGGATGGGGCTGTCGTACGAAAATCGTACGACTATTCGATCATCGGACGAAACGTTTCGTCCGATAATCGTAAGGTGTATGGGCACCTTTAATGTTTACCTTCTTGCAGAATCAGCTGGTCCCCTGAGTACTGGCCCTAATATCCTGTTTTAGGGTGGCTACTTTCTCTTGCAGAGGCCCATGGAGCCACCCTTGTGTGTGCTAGTAAGTTGTGTGTGTGTCTCCACAAATACACAGGCACAGCAAGGTAAGACAATCCCTGCTTCTTCTTTCTACCTTCTCTCTTTTCAATTCTTCAAATGGACAGATGGGACAGCTGCTGTAGACTGCTCTGTCCCTTGTAATCATGTACTGGACAGGGAGTTTAGGAAAGCCGTCCTGAAAGAGTTGGGGCCAGCTATTTGGAAATATGATGCCTATAAGAGCTCAGGCAAATATGTAGAGAAATACTTTGCAGGGCAATGTATATTTGTTGGATCTAAATTTAAAAAGATCAAAAAGATGCAAAGTTTATTACTACTTTACTTATTATGTCTAATGTCAGAAGATAAAGTTTCAGGTCAGTTTATTTTACAATGTATGAAACACTATAGATAAAACTAGACGTCATTTTCTACCAGTGATTATTTGTTTTGTTGAGCATTGCTATCACATAAAAAAAATCTCTCCATTATTTTTTGTCCCTTTAATGAAGTAACATTAACATGACCTTCACTCAGCTCCCAGCTTTTACCAGGAGCAAGACTTAAAACTGCAGAATATACTTGGTTAAACTCATATTAATTCAACCATTAGGGATAGGCACCCCTTAATAGAAATATATAAGAAAAAAAGAGAAAAACATTTTTTCTTTTTAAAGTGTCCAAACCATACGAGGTGTCAAACATGGACTGTTGCTCGTGAATAATACTTATGATGGGATTTTCTGCAACAGTCCTGTTTATCCTTGGATACCTCCCACCGGTTCACCTGTTTGGTGATTGCGAGATAGCATGTGAGAGTAAGGATCCAGCCATTTCTGTGAGCATGAAAATACCTCCAACACTCCTGAAGAAGCACATACAGTTGCAAAAAGCGTCGGAAGACTTGGCCCACAGTGGATTGTACAACAAATACATGTTTTAGGAATATTTAGCAGTCTATGATATATGAGTATAATATACGTGTGGGTACCAAAAGGAGGTAGTTTTTTTTAAATTTATAATTGACAATTTTTATTAATTTTTATATTCAGATAATACAGGAGTAGCATAAGAAAGAAAACAAAAAAAAAAGGAAGTAATATATAGAACATAGCCAATATTACAATGTATGCCACACAACAGTGCATAATAAACCAACTACGGTATCAAGTCATTAGTAAGAAAAGATAAATGCAGCCAATTTGGGATAAGATATACAATTGCAACACATTCACTATTTTTAGCAATATATCTAGCTCTGAAAGAACTGTGGTGGTTCAAATCGTAAAAGAGCACTTTCTGGCTCCGCTTATTGGCCAGGACATACTAAAATAAAATAAGAACAAAGAAAAGTAGCCAGGAAAGAAACCTGGAAAAGGAAAGATGGAAAGTAGAAAAGGTAAGAAGTAGATAGGGTAAGAATTAGATACCGGCTTCGCCTCGCATCTCCGTAGACCGGACCCACTTGGTCCCTTTTATCCACTGGAGCCAGCAAGCTCTACTTCATCCCACACTTCCCAAACCTTATTCTGGTAGTTTGGTTTTAATGTACTATTGTATCATACCAATCAGAGCCGTAGCTAGCTCCTTTTGCACCCGAGGCAAGAACAGAAAATTACATTTTTAGTCTTTGCACATGTTTAGTAGTAGTGTGTGTGTGTGTGTGTGTGTTTTGCGGGGGCTTTCAGGAAACACCAGGGGTCTAAACAGACCCCTGACTTTTCCCTTTTGAAATAGAAAAAGAGATTGAGGACAGACTCCTCTGCCCATACAGGTGGGGGAAGAGCAGCAGGGATCCAAGGAGAAGCTGGGACCCCTGTTGCCAATGGTGCCCTGTGTTCGCCCATGGCAACAGGTGTGAGGGGGGCGCAGCCAGGCAGGCCCTGGCTGCGCCCCCTCTCAGCTGCGCCTGAGGCGAGTACCTCACTCGCCCCATGGTAGCTACAGCCCTGATACCAATGACATTTTGAATGTAACCAAGTCTCTAAATCATGTTGATTTTTATGTAATAAGCCCCGGTTTTTCTCTTTTTTTCTTATATATGCAGAATATACTTGCTGCTAAAGCACAGTTACTGTGCTGTGTGCGTTTCCGTGCACTAGGTGCATTGCTTTGTGTTTTCACCCTTCTGCGGGGGGTCCATTGGGGCGCCATTAAAAATAGCAGGTCAACACACCTAGCGTACAACACAGCAAGCAAGGTGCACTGTGCAATAGCACATGCTAAACGCACAGTTATGTATGCTCAGCGCAATTATATAGTTTGAATGTGCCCTTATAGTTTCCTTTAATATATACAAAGGGTTCTTAAAGCACTGCGAGTTATCTAAAAAGACAGCACAGCAGAAGCTCCCTGCCTGGAGGCTGAACCAATCTCACTGAAACTCTGGACTGAGTCGTGTTATAAGTTAGTTGTCTGATTAATTTACTTCTATGTGTAAATTTTGGCTTTGACTATTGAACTCTGTAAAAAGAAAGGGGATAGTCTGTAAAGCATGAAAAAAAGTCTACACAAGGTCTTAATTTCATGCCTTACACGTATTATGTTGCCTCCATAGACTCATGTCAAAGAGACTCATTGCTATCTACTGCATATCTGTGCTCTCAAATATTCTTTTGAAAACAAACTTAATTAAAGTGATATTAAACTCTCAATTTTTTTTTAATAAAATCAATGCAGCTATATGAGACTTACTGTAGTCTATGTGTGTTTCTTCATTCCGTGCAGCCGTTTCTTTAAAATCTTCTTTCTTTTTTGGTGTTTGCCGGGTCTTCTATTCTGAGGATGACTCCAGTCTCTCCTGTGTCTGATGGAGTCTCCTTCCCTGCATTCAGAGGCTCGGCAGATCCATAGGCAGCCCGATGTCTGGATGACACGCCTCCTCTTTTGATTGACAGTGGCTTTGTGTAAGTGTCCCAGAATGCGAGTCATCTTGAGTTCATGCTCCAGAGCCCTCAACAGGGCCTGTGCCACAGGACAATGCCAGAAGAGATGCACAGTTTCTTCCGCGATGGGACACCAGGGGCAATGCCTGTATCTGATTAGGTTTCTGGCATGCATAAAAGTTCTTACGGGCAACCCACCCTGGATCGCCATCCATGCCAGATCTTTGTGCCTGTTGGTAAGTCTCTTACATGACACACTCCTCCAGACAAATTTGCAAGTGTCCAGAGGTTTCCACAAGTCAGGTTTAACTCCATGTAGTCCATGCTCCCTGATGAACTTGAAAGTGTCCAAGTAAAACCAAGGAATGTCCCAGCTGTAGGGGACAGAACTGTCCCGTTTGTCCCATCCCAGGAACCTCCAAAGAGGCAGGAGAAAAAACGGGACATGGAGTTCCCCGTAGAGTCCAAAGTTCTATCAATCAAAGTCCTGCGGATGGAATTACAAGCAAAGAAAACCCTCAGCATGGTGGCAATGTCCGGCACTCACTTTTCACCTTTGAGGGGATCTTTAAACATAACTGCCCGCTTCACTCATCCATCTTGGAGCCCCAGAGCAGGTGTTGTCCCGAGGAGGCCAGGCCATGGTGAGGTACTCAAGCTCGAGGACATCCTTACTGAGAGTTGGCGACCAGAACTGTACTGCATACTCAAGATGAGGCTGAACTAGTGATTTATATAGCGGTAGTATTATTCTTGTATCCCTTGCTAGAATCCCTCTTTTAATGCAGGACAGTGTCCTATTTGCTTTGTTGACAACAGCTTGGTATTGCATGCTTTTGCCAAATCTGAGATGTATGAGCACCCCCAGGTCTCATGTTATTGCCTGTTAATGCGCATGGAGAAAAGGCAGGGCTTTCATTTCAATGGATTGCCTAACACACCACAAAAGACCAAAACCGGATCACACTGCTCCCACTTATTGGCTGCTGCCCGGCTGGATGATACTTCACGCTGCGCCCGGAACCAGGTGAGGGGAGCAGCGTGAAGCATGTAAGGCCCAGGACAGGAGGAAGAGGTCCCGGGACTGACATTAGCGGTTACCGGGATAATAAATATCCTGGTAATCAGCGGTTACCAGGGGCCCCTTCCTCCTGTCCTGGACCCCCTCCAAGTGGCGGAACTCCAGCGACCTCTGCGACCCTGGTAGTTCCGCCACTGTGTGCCAGTTACTATTTAAACCAGTGCGCGCCGTATGCAGCTTCTAAGAAGATACGCTATTAGCGTAGCGGCGAAGCTGGATGTGCATTTTGCGTAGCTCCCACTTCGCTAATAGCACGGCCTCTCAGAAGCTTCTGATAGCGTGGGAGACGGGGGGCTGTGCTCGTTGGTGGATCCAGGCATAAGGTGAGTATAACGAAAAATAAATACATTTGATTTTATGTTCTCGGGGAAATTTCCAAGTTTACCAAATAAATACACTGCGTATATAATTGGAGGAAAATATGCTAATATTTTTTTTTTTACCATTTGCCAATAAAAACATGTCCCTGGATTTCATTTTAAAACTCTGCTCACCTTAGCCTACAGTAAAGAAACAGTTAACCCCTGTAAATCAATTGCTAAACACTGTAGGATACCCCTGGGCTATGCTAAGTGATTGACACCACACCAGATATGTGATTGTGTAGAAGTAGATGAGAGACATTTGTTTGTTTTGTTTGTGTTGTGCATCGCTGGCACCAGATTATTTCTACTCATTATGGAGCCATCAATGCTAATGATCAGTGCGGAGACAAGTCTGACCACTGACACCGTACAGCATGGAGGGGGAGGATCTTCTGGAGAAGGCGCGCCCTCGTTGTCGTGGAGACGCGTCCTTACTGTTGCCCCGGTGACCGGCTTGTTTGGATGAGAGAGACGAGAATCAGCTGAGATCTGCTAGAGGAGCCGGAGAGGAGCCATCGTATTAAAGCGGGTGAACTCTGCCAGGTATATACCCTGATACAGGAAGCCATCGCTCTCCCTGTGTACCCTTGTAATCTTCTCACCAGGACAGGCAGGGGAGACATGTGGAGCATATACAATCTGTATCACATGTATACTCCCTGCATGACATTTTAGGATTTATTGTAGATTGTATAGAGTTCAGAAATCCGGTTCCGGTTTTCTATGGATAATATTTAGGATGAGATGATTTCTTCTCTTTGAGACACATATACTATGCAGTGATGTGATTAATCCAGGTCTGGGCCCATAGAAGTCTATGAGGCAGATTAGCACTATGCTAAAGATGGCCATCCATCAGCAGAATCTCCTTTTTCTAATGGGTAGTTTGATGTTCCTTTGTGACCATAGTGATGAGGAAAATTGAAGGAGCGGGAGGGAAGTATTTCCTTTCTTTTTTTTTTAAATAATAAAATGTATTACGTTTTCCATATAAACAAAGAAAATATACAAGACAAATACATCTAAAAAAGAGCATGGGGCTACCTGACCCCCAAAAAGTGCATAGACAATACTCATAAGCAGGCGGAATGAGGCCTGGTGCAGACCTCCGGGATCACGCGTCCCGGGATCGCGCGGTTCTGCACAATGCAGACAGCAATTGCCGCACGGCCCCATTGATTTCAATGGGGTGACATCTGCGCGGAAATCGCTGAAAAAAGGTACATGTACCTTTTTTTTGTTTTGAAAAACACGCCGCGCGGCTACTCCTGACCGTGCAGAATCATGCACAATTGCCGCGTGGTGAGGTGTCGCCTAGGTGTGCACCGGCCCTCAACAATTCAGCTCAGGAAGCAGGGAAATATTATCTCGTTTTATAGCTGAACAAACAAGAACATGAATGTAACTTTTATTAGATAAGAATCGTACACATTGTAATGTGCTATGTGCACAAATAAAACCTGGGTAATATGGCCGGGATTCTGTTCAAGTAGCACGTAGCCCACACAATGATGTCAAGATCGAATGTCCTGATGAACGATTTCGAGCGAATGTTTGAACAAAATCCTAACAGTGTATAGCAAGCTTTAGTTGGCTCCGAGGGAAAGAATATAAATGAAGCTGAGGGATAGCCAGACCAAGACCTTTATAATGGAAATTTGATCAGAGGTCTCCATGTAGCAGGCCTTTGCATGCGACTATCTCCGTTTCAGGGCCGACTAGCAAGATACTGAAGCTTGGCCCAGTGGGAGATTCCTCCATCCACACAGTTTAGCGTAGATGGAGGAATCTGTTGCACTTTTTCCATCTGACCATAGAAAATCTGCAGATAATCTATAGGTGTATGGCCAGCTTTAGACTGGTCCCTTCCATCTCGCTCCCCCCTCCGCTTCAGCGGTCTAAGGTCCCCGAGTTATAAGGGTCTATACACAGTGTATAGGACATAAGGATGCCAAGAGACATACCATCACTCCCGGAGGAGCAGACAGGCTTCAGGGACCGGAGTAGCAGCCATGAAGCTTTGAGAATTGGGTGAGTCCAACTTTATTTTAGCAGCTAGATAAAAATGAGCACTTAAACTCCAGGGTGTTTTAAAATTAACCCTTGCAGTGGGGCTACCCAGCACTGCAAAGGGTTAAGTGCTCCTTTGTGTCTAGGTGCTACATATACAAAGATATACTCACACGGCGCTCCCTCCAGCCTGTCTTCTCCTCCGCAGCACATTGGAATCTTACTCAGTGTCCTCAGGTCTATTTACTGTGTATAGACGTGATGATTTACAGGACTTTAGACCGCTGCAATGGAGAGGCTTCAGGAACCGGTCTGAGAAGAACCTGGCTCAGAGCTTTGAGTGAGCATAACTGGTTTTTTTTTTTCAACCTAGACACAACTGAGCAGTTAACTCTTGCAGTGCGGGGGTAGCCCAACTGCAAGGGTTAATAAAACAAATTCCTGGAGTTCTGCTTTAAACCTTGGAGTGTGGTGGTAGCCCCACAGTAGGGGTTAAGAACACTGTTGCCCAGAGGTCTTCTTTATATAATCGACAAAATACTGAAGCTGCCCATACACCTTACAACCATCGCACGACTTTTGTTGTGTGATGGTTGTGAGGTGATTAAAATTTCGTACGACCTGCCCATCTTGGACAGGCAGATCGTACTTGCGTTCATCGCAAGCCCTCCCCGCTGAGGGGAGGGCTTGCCAATGATTGCAATGCTGAGCGGGCAGTGTGCACTTGCGCACAGCGGCCTGTGCGGCTTTCGTCTTCCGAGCACGCTACCAACCCAGGTTTTCCAGCGTGCAGGTTTTCCAGCGTGCTAGTCATGCGACCGTACAGTAGAAGCGGTCGCACGCTGCCCATACACCTGCCGATTATCGTACGATCGCGGGATCACCCGCGATTATCATACGATAATCGGCAGGTGTATGGGCACCTTAAGACTTGGAGCAGACAGAATCTGGAACAGCTGTGCATGGCAACCAGTCAGCTTCTATCTTTCGTTTTCACAAACCGAAGGTTGCTAGAGAGCCCATGCTTGCCTGTGTTACTGTGTTTGGACATTGATTTGTAAAAGGTGCATCCAAAAAACTCAATCTAAGCATCTTTGATTGTACTGCATGCAATCCCAGAGCACCAGAAGTTTCACGCATGTATATGCACATAAAAAATGTACTATTTGCTGCCCCAGGCACATTTTTTTCTGCACATCTGTATTCAATGCAAAAAGAGAGCCCCAGAAGCAGTTGTGTGTATGGGGCCCCTTATTTGCATGTGCTATGTTCATGTGCGCGCAGAAATATACGATGTGTGCGTCTGTACGCAGCGTGTTTAACGCCCATGCGATTGAGCCCTTATAGAACATGGGCCTCTTGGATACATGAAATAAACAAGAACTCTACCCACCAGCCCTTAGCTACCTAGAGAGCAGGCGCTCAATATAAGCACCAACCCTGGCATAGTGTCTCCCTTGCTGCCAACTGCAGGATCTTCTTTTAAATATTCCTATCTGACACACCGCATGAGCCTATGGTATTGTTCCCAAATTTTTACCCCCACCCTACTTCTTGATTGGTGTAGAAGTAATTCCTTAATATGATTTCTCTTTATATAAAAAAAATGAGACAGTCCATGATTGTAGACAGTTCACTTGTCTAAAGTTACCATGTCTATTACGATGTCAATCAATTGCCAATGATGATTAATCTACACCCTTCCTCTCACTCTTATTTACCCCAAATCAGCGTGCTAGGAAGACGAAAGTCGTGCGACCGTACAGTAACTGCTGTCGCACGCTGCCTATGCACCTGCCAATTATCGTACGATCGTGGGATCACCCGCGATTATCGTACGATAATCGCCAGGTGTATGGAACGCATGCGACCGTTTCTACTGTACGGGCGTCTTTTGTCTTACGAGCAGGCTCGAAAACCCGCCGAGAATCGTACGATTGTCGGCGGGTTTGTTGCCTGCTTGTAAGACTAATGCCGCATGGGCACACTGCCCGTTCAGCATTGCAGTCATCGGAAAGCCCGCCCCTCAGGGGGGGCGGGCTTACGATGATCTCAAGTTCGATCTCCCTGTCCAAGATGGGCAGATCGTAAGTTTTTTTAAATTGCCTTATAAGACAAAAGTCTTGCGATGGTTGTAAGGTGTATGGGCAGATAATCGTATGTGTGCATTACAGTGTCCGACCGACAGTACTGTACAATCGTACGACTTTTGACGGACGGAAACGCCAGCAACCTTACGAAAATCGTACGACTATTCGATCATCGGACGATAAGTTTCGTCCGATAATCGTAAGGTGTATGGGCAGATAATCGTATGTGTGCATTACAGTGTCCGACCGACAGTACTGTACAATCGTACGACTTTTGACGGACGGAAACGCCAGCAACCTTACGAAAATCGTACGACTATTCGATCATCGGACGATAAGTTTCGTCCGATAATCGTAAGGTGTATGGGCACCTTAAGACTGCTTCAGACAGAATCTGGAGCAGCTGTGCATGGCAACCAATCAGCTTCTATCTTTCGTTTTCAAGAACCCAAGGTTCCTAGAGAGCCCATGTCTGCCTGACTGTCTTTGGACATTGATTTGTAAAAGGTGATCCAAAAAACTCAATCTCCTTTGATGTACATTGTACGTACACCCAGATCTTCCTCTACCAGGCAGGAGCCACTGTCACCTTCTTAGTTGGGTGTCTGTTGCCGGAGCTCCTATGTAAATGTAGCCTGCAATCAGTGTTTACAGGCTGTGTTTGCAAAGGGGATTGTTGCATACATTGTAACAATACAATTGTTTCAGTGTATTTAGACTAGCTCTTTTATATGCAGATCAAAGGGGTATTCTTTGATCAAATCACCCCTTCCCACCCAATCAGCCTGGTTTTTCTCATTGTGTAATACCATGCAATGTCTGCCTGTATCACAATCTGAAATCAAATACGATGGCAGTCCTATTTGGTTTTCATGACTTTTTTATTGTAACACTGAAAATGGAAATACACTTTTTTAAATAGCATTTCTAAAAAATCTGTTTTGTGCTTGAAACAAATTTATTCCATTTATAAATGTTTTCCCCAAAATGTTCTACAACTTTCATCCAGAATTCACACAGTTTTCCTATTGGGTTTAAGTTGTGTAAAAACATTTAAAAATCGACTCCTTAGTGTCATTATAAACGGTTCAGTGACATGACATTTTTCCTGCAGTGACACATATTTACTGGTTTAGTGATAAGACATTTTTTTGCAGTGACAGATATTTGCAAAGTTGAATGTCTTCCTTGTTTAAAGTTAGATTCTGGTATTTAAAAGAGAACTATGGCCCAACCTTTTTTTGGCCATAGTTCCCCTTAGTGAATGTCCTCCTGTGACCCTATGTCCTCCTGTGACCCAAAACTCAGCATGTAGCTATATAGCATATAGCGGGCTATATTGTCGGAATCCACCCCACTACCTGATTGACAGATGGCTCTGCCTCTCTAGAGCCAGCTGTGTCCTACCCTGTCTGTCCCTCAAGTCAGTGCTGGAGGAACGGAGAGTTGAGGGGGGAATCCCTGTGGGGAGCGATGACTGACAGTCAGAAGAAGATCGGGAACTGAGTGGTATGTGATTGCTCAGTTGTCGATCTATAGAGTCGACCTGTGACAGCTTCAGTGTCGCACATCGGCTCTAATTATGGGGATGAGTGTAATTCACTCTCCCCATAATTATCCTTTTATGTTGAGGTCTCCCACATCTTGATGGTTGAGCCATATAAGTGGCACTTCTGGGGTAGGATGCCTTGAACTGGAAATAGCCCAGGGCACAAGGTACACTTAATCCACCACTGGGCATATCACTTACACAAATATGGTTGCAATGGTGCAGTGTTTAGCCCTGTTGCCTTGCAGCTCTCTGAGGTTCTGTTTTCAGACCTAACTATGATTATATGTATATTGTTAGTATGTCCTTATATTTAAAGTGATATTAAAGTCAAAGAGGGGAGTTTATCAAAGCGGGAGCCGTCACAATCTCAAAGCAGCTGTGCATGACAACCAATCAGCTTCTCTCTTTCATTTTAACAACTCTGCTGAACAAACTGAAGATAGAAGCTGATTGGTTGTCCTGCGCAACTGCACCAGATTTTGTCTGCTCCAGTTTTGATAAATTCCCTTCAAAATGTTTTTAAGCTATTTCAAATGCTGATTAAATAATTTACAATGGATATTGCTCCTTGATTTAGAAAAGGGTTCATTTCCTGCAGAATCAGCTGATCCCCTGACCACTGGCCCTGATATCCTGGTTTAGGCTCCTTTTCCTTGTAGGATCCTGTGGAGCCACCCTTGTGTGTGCTAGTAAGCCGTGTGTGTCCCTACAAACACACAGGCACATCAAGGCAATCCACTTGTCTCTTTCCTCCCTCCTATCGTCTCCCATTTCTAAGCTAGTAGTTACATAGTTACATAGTATTTGAGGTTGAATAAAGACATTAGTCCATCAAGAGGATAACTGATGGAGACTGCACTGTCCCTTGTTATCTTGTACTGGACAGGATGTTCAGGGAAGCCGAGCTGAGAGAGTTGGAGTCAGCTGTTTAGAAACATGATGACTGTAAGTGCTTGGGAAAAAATTTAAAGAAATACTTTGTTGGACAATGTATATTTGTTTGATCTGAGTTAATTATTGAGAAAAAGATTGCGCGTTAAATACTACCATAAGAAACCTTTTCTGGATAATTAAGTTTTCTTCCTCATTCCAAAAACATTCTGGTTTATAAACTGCTTTGTGATTAAACTGTCGCTATCCCAAAGCAAGTATACGTGCAAGGATATCAAGAGCAATGAGTAAGCATCCTGGATCAGTTGGCTGTAGGTCTAGGGATAACAGCAGACACCCCTAAATTTCCCTTTAACATGAACAATGTATTTAAAGGAGAACTATGGGGTTAGGGCTTTTCCCCATAGTTCTCCGAAGGGTAACGGGAGGACACAAACTAGCGTCCTCCTGTTACCCAAAGCTCAGTATATCCCGCGAGCTGCAGCTCGCGGTATACTGAGACGCCGTAGCTGAAACGGATCCCGACAATTGTGTCTGGATCCGCCCAGCTGTGTGAGTGACAGCTGGCTCTGCCTATCTAGAGGCAGAGCCAGCTGTACCCGCCCCCTCCCCCGTCCGTTCAGCCAGTCAGCACTGGAGGATCGGACAGGGGATGGGAGAATCCAGTCACTCCCCTGTCACAGTTCTTTGCAGTTACAGGATCGAGAAGTGAGCGAACGCCAGTATGTGTTCGCTCACTTCCCGATCTACTGAGCCGACCTGTGACAGTTTCATTGTCACAGGTTGGCTCAGATTATGAGGCTGAGTGAAAAGCACTCACCTCATAGTTCTCCTTTAAACGTGCATGTCATGGGAATGATCATTACAAGAAACTCTCATTCCTTAGGCCTCGTTCGCACCAGGAGGCGTTCTGGCCCTATTGTGGATCGCATTGTGGCCGGCTCAGTTTGTTGTGGGGCGGGAGGGGGCGTGGCGATGCTTTGAAGTGAATGGCACCACAGCTACGATCGGCAGCACGGGAACGCAAGGCACATCAATGTGTCCAGTCCGGTCAGAATAAATAGCGCTTGCAGCATTTCTTCTGACCGGACGTGAAATATATCGGAAATATGTCCTGGCCTCCTTAGTATAATAGTTTGGGTCATGCAGCTTTGTAATGCTGTCTGGGTGACATTACAAGAGAATATATAGTATATATACTGTAGATATATAAGATATATTGTGCCATTTATATTTGTTTTATAAATTACTTCTTTAAAAAGTAAAAAATATAGACAATGGCTCTCCTAAAAATGGTATTGTAGGATCACAGCTCTCATTTTGAAAATTATATTTCTTTTTCAGACCTTAAAGCTATACAATGGCAAAACTGGTCCAACTCCCACCGAAGTTCCTTCCTAAGGAGTGGAGTATTGCTAACCAGACACGCTATGCCAACGCGGAGGGTCAGAGGTCCCGATCCGAGAGGCTGGTTGCTGAGAGTCAGAGACTGGTTGAGGAAGTTGAAAAGACAACGCAGAAAACTCAAAAGGATGTCAACAAGAAGCTAGGTATTGCTATTGCCTTGTATGACTTCCAGCTTTCTAACTTACCCATTCAAAACATCATCATCACAAGTGATTACCCCAAGCACTGCAGGGATTGGAGAATAGAGATGATGTTTGACATTTTTGCAGTAGTTATGCTTTGCAGTGCCAAACTAATATACGTCAGCGTCATTCTCCAAAATACAAATTGTAATTTTGATAATTAATAACATTTGTACACTTATCCTGCATTTTTTTTCTACAAAGAGCGGAAATACTGTATACTGAAATGTTAACACAAGGTTATGCTAACAACTGGGATTCGCACATGCTATAATGCACATTTTAGGCCTGAAAATTACTTAAAACCCCCAAACATTATACATTTTCTTAAAGCAAAGACCCTGTAGAATAAAATTATGACAATTGCACATTTTTGCGTTGCACAATATTACAAACAATCAATCCCCAGAATTTGGTAAAAAATGCCCTTAAAGGGTTATTAAACCTTCCGTTTTTTTTTTTGCATATATCTATCTAGCAAGCAGTGGATATATGCAAAACCTTTTTTTTTTTAAACGCTTTAAAAGAGGTTAATACTTACCTGTGTCTTCCCCGCGCGCTCCCGTCCAAAAATATGAAAATTCTCAGGCGGCCATAAAGGATATTGGGGCGGGCGCATGCACAGTTCAGATTTTCGGCCGGGAGACGAGGAGAGACACAAGGTAAGTCTATGGACGCGTGCACCCACATGCAGACACCGCGGGACAGGAAGTGCCAGCAAGCACAGATGAGTCAGTGACCCGCAGCAGCGCTGGAGGGACAGTTGAAAAGTACAGGAAAGAAGAAGAAGATTGGGTTAAGAGACATCATTTAAGGTAAGTGCTTACACTAACATTGGGGGAGGGGAAAAAAAAAATTCAATGTCACTTTAAGTTAATTTTATTGCCCAAAATGTTTTTTAAAATTGCGTGTGTCCGTAAAACGGCAACAAAATACCGTACCCCAAATTGTCCATAGGCGTAGCTGTAAAAGCCCGTACAGGTCATCATTTAGAGATATCCATGATTATTGGCCCTAGAATTATTGCTCTCACACTGGCACACGCGGCGATATCTAACATGGGTAGCGATCGCATTTTCGTACGTAGGTGCACCTGACATGTGTTTACATTTATAAGCATGCGCTCACAGGGGCTGGGGACTTTAAACTTTTTTTTATTTTTATATTTATTTGATTTAATCCTATTTTTTACTTTATTTAATTGCTATCACATAGGGGGGCTTACAATCCCCCCTATGTGATAGCATACTAATGGTGACAGGTTCTCTTTAGGTTATTTTAGTGGCCAATCAGACCCCTAATGTCACCTTTGCACTCCAAATAAGCTATTGGAGCAAGATCACGCTCCAATAGCTTATTGCCCTGCTTCTGCAGCCAAGCAATGACAGCTGAGGGACTGGAAGTGATGCAATCAGCATCGCTTTTGGTCCCATAGAGCAGGGAGGAGATCGGCAGCCTCCTTCCCCGCTTCCCACCAACACCCAACTCGCTGGTCCCGGGCCCGCAGGTGGAACAGTGAAGCCCAGTGTCGTGCAGGGGTACACACTGCACCAGCCCCTGCAAACGATCTTACAGCAGCTCAGCTGTCAGAATTGCTTCTAGTGTAATGCTGACAGTCTGCTTTACAAATGTAAATGCTATAGCCGCCGGGAGTCTGTTGAGATATGTTGGTGGCAGCAAAAGTTAGTTAATTTTTTGCATTCAATCATGCAATCAAATGTATTCAATAATGTAACTATTAACAATACTGGACCTTATTTGTGTATCATTTGGCTGTAGATCCTCAAATCATCTCTGAGTTGGTGCTGACACTGTCCTCCCTTCTGGAGGGTGGCTACTTTTGTCCCCCATGGTCCCTGTGTGTGTTGTAAAGTAGCCACCGCTCCAAGCTCACTTCCATGATGGACTACAATCTCAATACAAATTGGTAAACTAAACGTGAGATTGTAAATTTGGTTCTGGTTCACTCGCGTTGTGTATGCCATTTGTCTCCACAGAGCAGAGATTAGAGGAGATCCAGTTTTGGAAGAAAGAATTAGATGACAAGCTTGAAGACACAGTTAATGACATAGAACAGCTGCTGGCTTATAAAATTCGCCTGGAAAAAGCCTTCGAGAGCTGCCTGGAGCCTTTGTTCATTGCACAGCAATGCTTAGTGGAAAGGTAATCATACAGAAAATTACAACAAATAGCTAAAAATCCAAAGAGATGCTGGAAAGATGACTTTCTCAACAGAAAAAAGTTAGGGATGCTAGTATTGCTAGTATAAAAGTTAGTATACTAGTATTGGTATCGGTGCCAATACCGAGTATTTGGTATCACCCCAATACCGGAAGCCGGGCGGCACGTCATGACCCGCCTCCCAACTTCCTGATTGATCAGGCTGCCAGGGGCGTCCCGAGGCTGGGTGACAACCGGAGCGGTAAACGGGTGTCACCCCGCCCACTCGCCGAGACGTCATCGCAGCGATCTTTTGATACCTGCCGGCGGCCATCTTTGTGTTGGACGCCGGCAGAAAGAGGAGGGGACAGTCCACCGGCGGGATAAGGTATGCCGCCGGGTCCCCTACTCTCTCTCCTGTTACTGTCGGGCGTTCGGTCCATGACCGAGCGCCCGACTTTTCAGAGGGGGGTGACACCAAAATGACTCCTCCAATGGTGTCATCCGGGTGCGGGCCGCATCCCCCTCGTGACGCCACTGCAGGCTGCCTACCAACAAGTGAAGCCAATCTGGAAGCCAGACAACACGTCATGACCCGACTTCCCGATTGGCTTCACCAATTGGTAGGCATCCTGGCTTCCTGACCAATCAGGAAGCCAGTCTGCCTCGCAGTGTCATGATGGAAGTGAAGCCGGTGTTCTTTCGATTGAACAACAGCTTTCCAGGCAAGCAGTCATGACCCGCTGAAAAATATTACCTTACCTTCTTTGACAAAGCCCTTTGTGCAGATTCCATGCCACTCTGAGCAGTTTTAGAGAGAAAGTAGTGACCAGTGACCAGTGAAAACCAGTGACGTCAGTGAGCTGGGTGGGAAGCCACACAGAGAGAGCGTCACAGGTTGCTAAGAGCTCTTAGCAACCTGGGACACTGTGGCTGCCATATATGGTTTGTTAACATTGAATATGGAAGGGTTAGCACCTTTGAGTTTTTTGCTGTCTATGTGACCACTAGGAAGATTCACCCGCCCTTTTGGTCCTATTGACCATATGTCTGCTACACAAAGTTCTGGGAAAACCAACATGTTTGCATTTTCATAGGAACAGGAGGTGAGGGGAAATCTTCAAATAACCTGTTCTAGTTACAACTGACATTTTGTCTTCCTAATATGTCTGTAGGAGATGAAATCTCCTGAAGAAGACACAAACAGAAAATCCAGAAACTGAAATGGGTTCACTACTTTATTCAACAGTAAAAATAAAAGTTTAGACTTTACACTTTGTTTGCCATGCACGTGTGACCACTTTGGGTGATGTGGATGACGTTTTCGTGACCTATATGTATTACTCTTGAAATGTGTCTCTATGATTGTTGACACTGTTTAAACAAATCCTTTTGCAGAGAGAAAAGAGTTGGGATAGATCTGGTTCATGATGAAGTAGAAAGAGAGCTCATCAAGGAAGTGGAGGTGATCCAGGGGGTGATGGTGCTACTGCAGAGGACTTTAGAACAAATTACTGAGCAGATAAGGTGAGTTATTGTATTTTATCATGTTTGTTTGCCAAAGCTGACACAGAAGAGATGGTGCCATAAGCAGTAAGGTTATTGTGATTGATCAAACATAAAACAGAACTCCGGGCAAAAATGTTCTTAACCCTTGCAGTAAGGCTACCCACGCACTGTAAGGGTTAAGTGCTCGTTTTTGCCTGGGTGCTAAAAAACCCCCCAAAATAAGTTACACTCACCCAAACTTTGGAGTCAGCTGGCTGCTTTTACAGTCCCTGAAGTCCTCCTTCACTGCAGTGATGCTCGGCTTCCTCACATCCTGTGTACAGAACATGATGGCTCAAGGATCCTTAGACCACTGCAGTGGAAGGGGAGAGAGGCTCCAATTAATTAACAGGCAGCGCTCCGTCAATGACAGGTTACACAGCGGGAAGGCTTTCCCTGCTGTGTAACCTGTTACAAGCCGCTCTGAATGGAGAAAAAGCTGTCAGCTTCAGACTTGAAGCTGACCGCTTTTTTCTTCATTATGCTAGGTGAGGCTGTGCCTCACCTGCCTCCCCTGACCGCACGTCCCTGGGTCTAAGAGCAAGCTGGCTCCGAGGATCAAGTCAGTATAATTTTTTTTAGCACCTAAACAAAAATGAGCAGAAAGGTTAAGAACATTTTCGCCCGGAGTTGTAATTTAAATCACTTAAAGTAGATCTGTGACCAAGCTATGGACATTGAATCTTTGCAGGAGTAAAGATCAGTGATCCACTGCTGCAGGTTGCTCCCGCCTCCAGCTGGTCGTGTCACAGCACCTCACGGCAATACGCGCGGAATCGTGGTGTTGCCTAGGTGTGAGCCTAGCCTTACAACAAAAGCTATTAGAAAATGTCCTCCTGTGACCCAAAAGAGTACCAACGCCAAAAAAGGTTTGGCCATAGGTCTCTTTTAATGTAAACAATCTTCCAGCCACATAGAACTCAGACAGCATGAAGTGAGCATCTGCCGAACTAAGACAGCAATGTTCCATAGAGTTACCTCTTGGATATACTGCACCTATTGCACTCTCGATGTTATATTTAACCCACTTTAGGACCTTGAGCAAAGGAGATTCATCGTCAAAAACTTCAACAAATTCCCTAGGGTGTATTCCCTATGTCCTCTTGCTGGAGGATCCATCAAACTGATAGCGGGACTTCCTCCTCATTACAGCAGAAGCTACAAAGCTTATGAACAGCGTCCAGAGCGCAAGCTGCATTGAGAAATATCATGAAACCTCATTATTGTTACTTTAGTTACTTTTTTAAAGTGGTGGCCTTTGATCTTTCTATGATGTCAATAAAGCAACCCTACCATTAAAAATAAATACAATCTGTTTCTCTTTAACCAATTATTAACCCTTAGTTACTCTAATCAACTGTAATTAACTCCTTCCTCCCTTTCTCCTTTTAGTTATTAATAAAATCTGCTTTTATTGTTACTTCATTTTTTATTTAATTTTTAACAATTGAAATTGAACTTGTTTTACTTTGCCTGGTTTGTAAATTCTTTTAGGGACGTATTTAAAAAAGATCTGCAAAATATTAAAAAGTCTTTATTTTACTTGTTGATAACTACAGTGCTTTTGAACAGTTGAATTTATTACTAAAGCCCCTTCTAGTGGTTACCTGTATGTTTAACAATTGTGGTCCTTACTGAATAGCTGCAGAAATAATGTGATAGGCAACCTTGAGATTATCGTTTTCAATCATAGGCCATTTTGAGGCTGTATTGTTTTTAGTGATAAGCTGGCTTGAGATTGTATTGTTTTCAAGGATAGGCCATCCTAAGATTGCATTGTTTTTTGGTCAGTCTGGGCAGAGTGATAGGCTTGCATTGAGAGGCCTGCATATGCTAATAAACAAGCATGGTTGCCTTCTAGTTTTTTGTTTTTTTTAATTAAAGACTATAACAGAAACACCAAGTGGTGTAGAATACCTGCAACAGCTGAGAAACAACAAAGCAACTGGCCGCTGGAAAGGTAAGTATATTCCCTCTTCTTTTAGTAGCTACAAGTGACCCTGGACTAGTAGTTTAGATATATGCGAGCTGCCATTGCTGACTTGTTTCTGAAGGTGCATGCATCAGGGCTATCACCGGTATCATGGCTTCACTACTTAGGCCCTGTTCACACCTTTATGTTTTGTCGCGCGTTCAAGGCTCTATGAACGCTCGACAAAACGTACAAACATGAAAATCCCATTGTTTTCTATGGGTATGGTTCACACCTTTCCGTATTTCCGCCCGTCTGAAACGCCCTACAAAACGGCCTACGCTCAAACAAGTACATGTACTTCTTTGGGCCGTTTTTGTTGGGTGTTTCCATTGGGATACAGCCAAGTAGCCCTCGGAAACGCGCGTTTTTATACCGCGAATCGCGGTAAAAAAAACACGCGACAAACGCGCGACAGACGGGCATATTCAATACGCCTAGGTGTGAACCCAGCCTTAGTGTTTTATTGATCCAGAACAGGCATGTTTGTAAGGCCCCTTTCACACGGCAGCTCTGATCGGGTCCGCCTGTCAGTTTTTCAGACCGACCCGATCAGATGCCCAATTCAAGTCTATTTCGCAGCGTCCATTTACACCGGGTTACCCCCGGCTAGGTCCAGTAAAACAAATGGAACAGTGTTTTCCGTTTTGCCGGACCGGATTGTGGGTAATCTGATTTAAATGGACACATGTTAGTTTACATCCACTTCCCCATAAACTGGCATGGGGTCTGGTAATTGCAGTTTTTTCCTCCATCGCGAGATGGAAGAAAAAACTGTATGGACACGGATGTCACAGCGGTGACATCCGATCCCTACTGCTGTGATCAGGAGAGGAACCATATGGATCCTCTCCTGATCAGCCCATGTGAAAGAGGCCTAAGGTGTCTCAGCACCTAATGTGCACATGATTGTTTGGGATTAGTGGAGTAAAGGTAGCCATACACCTGCCGATTACCGTACGATAATCGCGGGAAATCCCGCGATCGTCCGATAATCGGCAGGTGTATGGAAGGTGTGCGACCGTTTCTACTGTAAGGTCGCACGTCTTTTGTCTTACAAGCACGTTGGAAAACTAGCCGAAAATCATACGGTTTTCGGCGGGTTTGTGGCGTGCTCGTAAGACAAATGCCGCACGGGCCGGTGTGCGCAATCGCACACTGCCCGCTCAGCACTGCAGTCATGGAAAGCCCTCTCCTCCGCGACGCGGGCTTGCGATGATCTCAAGTACGATCTGCATGTCCAAGATGGGCAGGTCGTAGGAGCTTTTAATTACCTTACCACCATCGCACGATGAAAGTCGTGCGATGGTTGTAAGGTGTATGGCCAGCTTAAGGGTCAAGATAGCAGCCTTGAACCATGTAAATCTGCAGTGGCAGCTCCCATATTGCAATGCTGACAGATTCTTTTACTAAGACTGTTAATTCTATTTAAATGCAGGACTGTGAATCACAGTCTGTGATGTTTGTTCATTCATAACGCTGTTTCTCTGATACCTGCAGGTTGAGCCGATCCGCTAAATACTACCTGGAAAAGGATCTGAAAGACAAGTTCCAGGCTTTGAAAATCGATAATCAATGCAGCACATTAACAAACAATACTCCAGACATCGGATATGCTTCCAATGTTGTGACAATCCAGGGAAAGTAAGAAGTCTTGAATTAAAATTTGTACAACTATGAACTGATTCATTCATTTAGGTGGCAATTATTTGGAGGATAAACAAAGCAATATAAGTATCCTCATATAGGTATACAAACATATTCATGTGTCCATGTGCAGATTTAAAGCATTATTCTACAGAGGTGAACAGCGATGACAGTCCATTGCAGGAATTCTGTTTTAAAGGATATGTGCACTTATCCTTTTTTGCTCCCCTCCCCTCTACAGACACATACTTACCTTCTTCTATACTCTACATTCTTCAGGGACCTGCCGAAGGGCGCACAGTGGGTGCCGTTGTCAGCACCCTTTTTACTGTCATCAGCTAATCGAAGGAGCCGGTTGGAAAATCTTTGAACGAACAGAGTTGGCAGCCAATGAGCTGCCGACTCTGTTAGGGTATTCCGACAAAGACCGCTGTCAGAATACAAAGGAAGCAGCTCGTAAGCGTTGATGGAAGAATCTGTTCTATTTTTTTTTTTCGTGCAACCTGCAGGTTGAACGAAAAAAATAGAACAGTGTATAGCCAGCTTACGTATGTAAGAATGTGTATACGGGGAGATTAAATGCAATTGCACACTTATCCTTTAGGCCCCGTTCACACCTAGGCATTTTGTGGTTCAATGCTCCAAAACGCTCAACACAAGGAATCCCATTGTTTTCTATGGCCCCTGTTCACACCTGAGCATTCTGTGCTTTGTAGCAAAACAGCTTGAAAAGGATTTTAGCACTTTGTCCACATAGACTTTAATGAAAATGCCCTAAAAGATGCGTCACAGGCATTTTTTTTATCTTTTTTTTTTTTTCTGCATTTATGCACGATATTACAGATACTATTGCTTTCCATTGGGCCAAATAGAAAAACACCTTTGAGCCCATTCACACCAGGGCGGTTGCGGATCAGCGAGGTTACCGCACTGATCTCAAAAGGGAGCTTTTGGGAGTTATTAATTGCGTTTCAGCGCTAAAATGCAATTAAAAACGTTCCAAACTGCGCTGATCCATTGAAAGCTGTATGGAAACCACACTGATCAGTGCGGCAAAAATAGTGCAGTTTGGGCAGGGGGCGGTTGGGATTGCGCGGGCCCACGCGATCGCATGAACGGTCCCCATAGCAATGTATGGGATCATTAATGTTAGCGAATCCACGCGGGCCGAACCGCCCTGGTGTGAACGGGGTCTGAAGCTGAATGCCTGCAAAACTGATTAAAATAGTTTTTTGTTTAAAGTCTGAAAAAGCCAATGGTTAGGTGTGAACAGGGCCTTAAGGACACATAAATCTTATTTGTGCTGCATCTAGACTGGCTTATTACCATGAAAACAGCCAGTATTAAAACCCTATACGGGGGCCTACATACATAAGGGAATATTTTCCCTATCTAGGCCTCATCAACAGGGTAGACATAGAAAAAGGCGTAGAGAAATTCAGTTACTTATTTTGTTTAGTGATTACCGAATCTGTGTTCCAGAGAGGAAATCCTTAAGGGCTTGTTCACACCAAATGCAGACCAGATCTGCATGAGTTTCTGCACACGCAGTGCAGTGTGTAAAACCGCGTTTTTTATGCGTTGCGGGCCGTTTTTGGTACAAAAAAAATGGTCTTTTTTTTTAGTTTAAAATAGGCTTTCAGTGCGTTCCAGTGCGTTTGCATGCGTTTTTGATGCATTTGCATGCGTTCCAGAGCAGGTAAAATAGGGCTTGCTGCAGTTTTTTTTACATGCTCTGGAACTGAACGCTGCGGTGTTAACTAGAGCCCAAAATACCATTGGAATACATTGGACTCAGTTTTGATCCGGTCTGTAACTACTCTGCTCCTGGAACGCGCTTGGTGTGAACAAGCCCTAAAACTTGCATCGTTAGTAAATCTTGATGACAGGTTTGTGAACCTTATGCTCTAATATAATCTCTCAGTATTGAATACTCTAAGCATTATTTTGTATACTTCCAGCTCAGTAACCCCGGTTGAATGGGAGGATTTCAGCAACACAAATATTGTGAATGCTGAGAAACAGAGAAACAATTCAGTTTCTCTTCGGGCCCTTATTGACAGCATCTTGTCTGAAACAGCCAGCGATATGCGAAAGCAGTGTGATACTGTCAACGTTGCCCTGAAAAACCGCGTGGCAGAGACAAAGGATGCAAAGAGTAAGCTGGAAGTGCACTTAGCTAAGGTAAAAAAAAAAAGCATTCTGAAAATATTCGATGCTGTACCATTTATATGCATTTTTCTTAATTTCGCAGCCCCATCCACTGCAGGGCAGGTCTGAAAACCTTATTAAAATACTATTTCATCCTTTGTTGCGGATAATGGGGGTTCTATGGGTATGTAGTGAACCCTGCGTGCCAAAGGTTTGCGGAATTTGTGAACTAAAGCGGCAATTTGCCAGACCTAATTCTTTGTAAACATAATGCGCTGCCTGCCCTTTGAACTTAGGTCAGCTGGCTTAGAAGGGCCAATAAGGGGGCTTTTTGGATAAGCTAGCCCCCTCACTATAAAAGAGTGGGCTCCCAGCAGCCATATTGACAATGTGCTTTAGCTGTGATAGTGAAAGCATAGGAGTGCTGCTGATAAAGTACATACAGAAAGAATAGTGTAGGGCTCGTAGGCATGGCAGGTCTAGTAGTAGGTGCAAAGCCTTACTGAATGTCCTGTAGGTAGCAAAATTCTGTGGGGGTAATTTATCAGAATCTGGAGCAGTTGCTCATGGCAAGCAATCAGCATCTCTCTTCAGTTTGCTCAGGTAAGATTTTAAAATGAGAGAGAGAGAAGCTGTGCAACCTGCTCCAGGTTTAATAAATCCCCCCTATGTATCTTGGAGAATTTTTTCATCTTTTGTTACATCCTAATGCTGATAATGTCCTGCAACCAAATGACAACAGCCTGTCCCTGGCCACATGCACTACAACGATAACAGGTTGCATGTGTTTTTTCACAGTTCATATTTCCTAATTTTTGCTGGCTGGGAATTTTTTTTTCATATGCCTTTTTTTTTTTAAAGGGGACCACCCATAAAAAAAGGAAGGTCTGCTCTATTAGAAGCTCTCCGCCACCAAGCCAAGATGAAGAGGCTTTTGGGGATGTTGAGAAGAGCGAGAAGACTTCTTATAGTTCAGAGCAAATTAAACTATTTCTCCATACTCAAACAACACATAAAAAAAATGTTTGTGAGCCAACTCTAATCTCAATAACGGTGGTGATGTAGCCACTAGCCAGGAGGTGCCTCAGAAGAATTCTGGCCTGTCTGTCAACCAGTGGTGAGCAATTAGACAGGCAGGCACAGTGAAGGGGGACGCCCAACATGTTCCTGGCTGGCTGCCATAATTACCAGAGGCACTAAAGGTCCTGGGTTCTGAAGTCTATTTTTATGATGAAGTGTGCATACTGAATTTTGTTTCTCTCTATACCAAACGTATTCTTACAAAGTAGAATAAAGAGATGAGCACATCTAATACAGTAATGCCAATGTCTGTAGATTAATATGTAGTCATTGTTTTGAGAAGATGTCTTTTCAAACATTTATTTCTAAGGTTATGGATGAGATCACTTCACAGGAGAAGAACATAGAAAGCCTTAAGAAAGCCATTGCCGATAAGGCAGGTCCAATCAAAGTGGCCCAGACCCGCCTGGGGACAAGAAAACTGAGGCCTAATGTAGAGCTTTGTGGAGACCCTGTCCAGTACAGACTCATCAGTGAGGTTCAGGAGATTTCCACAAATGTTGAAAGGTTAGAAAAACCTGATGTTCTCTTTTATGTAAATTTTTGGTCACAAGATTCTTGGTTTGTGTTTCTCTACATTCTAAATACACCTGGAAAAAGATTGGTAGGGATATATATA